CACTTTTTCTCCAGTGGCCAAGACAAATTCTGTAAAAGCCCTTTTAGCAGTTGCAGCTGTTAGGAACTGGACACTGGAACAACTAGATGTGTCTAATGCTTTCTTGAATGGTGACTTGTGTGAAGAAGTCTACATGAAAGTGCCGTTGGGAGTAGAATTACCTGCTGGAAATTCCAAGAGGATGGCATGTAGACTGAAGAAATCTCTATATGGTTTAAAACAGGCCTCAAGACAGTGGTTTGCTAAACTGGCTGCCTTTTTACTCAAGAATGGTTTTTCCCAATCTATGTCTGATTATTCTATGTTTACTAGAACTGTACATGGAAGAACAATGGTACTGCTGGTGTATGTGGATGATATCATCCTTGCAGGTGATGCACAGAAGGATATTGATCAAATCAAGAAGGCACTGAGTAAGGAGTTCAAGATTAAATTGCTTGGACCACTGAACTATTTCCTGGGATTGGAGGTAAACAGAACTGCCACTGGACTTAGTGTTTGTCAGAGAAAATATTGCATGGATTTACTGGCAGACACTGGATACTTGGATGCAAAGGGGTGTCAAACACCATCAGATCCAAAGGTGAAGCTTAGTGCAAAACAAGGAGAACTGTTGGAAGATCCAGAGCAGTATAGAAGGCTAGTGGGGAGGCTACATTATATTACCATCACAAGACCAGATTTAACATACTCAGTGCAACAACTGTGCCAATTCCAAAAGCAGCCATGTACAGGACACCTTCAAGCAGCCTTTATAGTGCTAAGGTATTTGAAACCATGTCCAGATCAGGGAATACACTTCAGAAGTGATGCAGACTTGAAGCTGGTTGGTTTTTGTGACTCAGACTGGGCAAGTTGCCCTGATACACGAAGGTCTACCACAGGATACTGTACCTTCTTGGGGAAGTCACTGCTCACCTGGAAAACAAAGAAACAGACAACAGTATCCAGGTCTTCCTCAGAAGCAGAATACAGAGCCTTAGCATTACTTGTGTGTGAGGTGGATTGGTTAAGGGTTTTACTTGCAGAAATGGGAGTTACAATACCACTACCAGTTGCAGTTTACTGTGACAACAAATCTGCAATACATATTGCAGAAAATCCTGTCTTCCATGAGAGGACAAAGCATATAGAGATTGATATGCATGTCACCAGGGAGAGAATCAAAATGGGCTTGGTTAAGTTGTTTCATGTCAGTACAATTAACCAGCTGACTGATTTGTTTACTAAAGGTCTGGACAGGGTTCGTCTCAGGGATTTGCTATGCAAGTTGGGAGTGACACTGGCATCCTCAACTTGAAGGGGGGTGTGAAGAAAGAAAGCTGAACCAGCAAGTGTTGCAGGAAGAAGAAGAAGAAGTCCTAATGAAGAAAGGATTGCAGCTGTGAGAAGAATATGTTTCTTGTGTTGAAACGTTTCCTTTTATTTGTTTAAGTTGAAGAGAGTGAAACTGTGTCGTTTTATGCTGCAGCGGTTAGCCGTTGCTAAACAGTGTTTATTTCTTGTAATAGCCTATAAGGTAGAGACACGTGGACTAGCGGGCTAATTTGAATTAGCTCACTGATATATAAACGAATGCAGAGCTGAGAAACCCTTTGAGGGTTCTGCAATTCACCAAAGCGCTTCCTAGAATTTTCATATAGAGTCAAGTTGAGGGTTTGTTTGATCAGTTGGCTACTCTTAAGGGTTGTGAGATTGTGGGGTTAGAGAGTGGGCTAGTTGGAAGCTTTGCTAGATTGTATTTATGTTCTGTCTTTCGCTTTCAATAAACAATCTCTTAGTTTGCTTTCTATTGAGTTTAACATATATGTCAAGAACCAGTTGATTACAATAATTCGAGTTGTTGGGAGATGTTCAATCGTAGATCGTACACCGTTTATTAACAAGAAGTATCTCCAAATCTATAGATAGTGGACGTTTTTGGTTGGTATGATTAGTAGTTAATTGACTTAACAATTGTTATATATTATCTTAAAGAAGAACTTTAAATCAACAACTTACCTGTATGGCTGTATCCCCCAACGCTGTTTATGAACGTTGGAATGAATGGGGTATATGGACTATGGACTGTATATAAGTTTTCAATGGCAGCAAAGGAGGGCTGCTGGTGTGGGTGAGATGGGTGGAAAGGAAAAGAAATACCCGAGGAGAGAAGGAATGTTAATGGAGATAAGAGGAGGAAAAGAAGGAAAATAGGAAATTTTTTAACCAAGCAGTCAGGCCGAGTTGGAATGCTGATTTGGTACTAAAAATTGTAATTTGGTATCCGCCGTTAAGTTTGTGGATGGAAAATGCGACGGTGCAACCATAAATCGACGTTTGTGGTTTAGTTGCAACTAAAAAAATATAAGTGGTTAGTATACAACAAAAGTAATATTTAAGTGGTATTTGATGCAATTAAATCATTTAAATGGATTGGATTAGGTGGATATTTTTAATGATTTGGTGGATTGGATTGATTGAATTGATAATTGCCACTTTACTTCTGACTCGAACCCCTGGCAAAGAATCCGCTCAAACATTCACTTCCGCAGGCGTAAACATTATTTTGCTCGGCATCGGCAACAATTAACAAACCCACTGTACCCACGAGGCAAATGCCACCGGGCCCATCATGAAGAAATGTTGCGAAGTCTCCAATGGGCCTAGCCCAATGATTTTTATACGTGAACCCTATTCCTTAACGCTTTTCCCACCCGGCCCGGCTGCAGCAGAGTCTGTTCTCTCGGCTCGGGCATCGAATAAAGAAGGCGTTGGTGGTGAATGGTGATGGGTCCGTCATGTGCGCCGAGTGTGCAATTTCTCTTCTACGTTGTAATATATTATCTACCTTGGCTCTTCTTTTATTTCCGGGTAGCCTTCTGTGGGAGTCCATCTTTGTTGAGATGGCAATAGGTCAGGTTGGGTCGGGTTTTGCCAAACCAAAACCCAAATCCATGGATTTATTCGTGAAAAAACCCGAGGTAAAACCCATTGGGTTTGAAAAACTCAAACCCAATCCAACCCGCTGGGTATTCGCGGATTCATGGGTACCCATGGGTTTTGTCATAAAATTTTTACAATAACAAGTTCCTATCAAAATTAAAGTCAAATATCAATCTCTCAAGACAAATTATAAATAAAATAAATAAAACATCATTCTAGAAAATTCAAGCAAATCACCAATTAACTATACAAATTGTTCAACACCAATCTAGAAAACTCAAGAAAATTGAAGCAAATTACAAATTATCCATAAATAACATGATTGATTGAAAACTTCTTCCTCCTTGTCAATTAAAGTTTTTTCACTTTCCACTCAATAACATCAACTTCATTCTACACAATTAGAAAGAAAAAATTATACATGTCTCCACAAACTAGGGCTGGGCATGCGGGCGGATCATCCGCGGGTTTGGGCCGACCCACCCGCATTTGACCCGAATTTCGTTAAGTGGGTGGGTCTGTGGGTGGGTGACGGGTTGCGCTAGGAGCCATCCGCCGGGTGGTGGGTGGGTTGTGGGTGAGTGTGCGGGTGACCCGCTCAACCCAACAACAAAAAGATCAAAGTCGTTGGCGCTTGAGAGAGGAGAGTGGAGACGTTAGATATAAACTCGGACTGCTCCTGGAGTTTGAACCTCAAAGCCAACCTTTCAAATAGAGATCCCCTCTTCTTCCCTTTACTTTTTTCTCTAATTCTTGTGCCTAGATCACCGCTCTTTCCTTTGTGGAATTATTTTCCTTAGTTCCTTGCACCTAATAATCGTCTCAATCTATAGAAAACTCTTTCATAATAGAATTTCTATCCAATTTAAGAACTAATTCGACATTTTTCGCCCTATTTCAATTTCTTGTTTCCCTCGATGATTCTCTTCACCTATTATCATGTCAAGTTGACTCCTTTATATTATATACGTTGTGATGTGGGTGAACCCACAAACCCACCCGCATCATCCACCATCCGCCCGACCCAACCCGAAACTGAATGTGGGTGGGTGGTGGGTTAAAAATTATCAATCCGTTTAAGCGCGGGTGGGTGCATTTTATGGTCAAAATCCACCCGACCCACCCAATGCCCACCCCTACCACAAACATAAATAAGATTAGTTGTTTATAATATTAAATATACCAAGAAAATTAATTATATGGGTGTGGACGGGTACCCATGGGGCGGGTTTAACTAAACCCAAACTCAACCCAATAAATAGTGAACGGGTTTAAACTCAGACCCGACCCAAAACCCGTCAACACGGATTTTACCCACGTTGACCGAGTTAGATTGGGTGAGTACCCGTAAATTCGAATTTTGTTGCCGCCCTACATCCTTCCCAGGGAATAAAGTCCATCTGTGGGAATAAAGCTAGCGAACAACCTCAATTTGTTCCAATGGACAAAGTCCATCCTTCGCAGGGAATAAATCCCTTCAAATTCATCGAACCTTCCAATTAATCACTTCTGGACGGAAACTAAGGACGGATCCCAATCTGCTTTCCCAGAGGCGAGACAGTACATCGTACGAGGGCTTCTTCGACGGAGCGTCCACGACCGCCAATGAGCTCGGCGTAGCATTGGTCGGTGGAAATCCCTTGAACCAGAATCGGTATCCTGTTCGGTACATAACGACAGCAGCCAAACGTCTTAAAGTTGTTAGAAATCGAACAAAAAATTTAGGGTTACCGATCTGGCTGAGTCGCGGACTAGGTCGCTCTCTTTAAGGCGTTCGCGGCACTGCCTCGTTATTCGCACAGCAGACTATCAGCCAGTCGCCTCCAAGATAAAACAGTCATTCTAATTTTATTGCTCATCTGTTTCGTGCGAAAACCGAAACTCTATGAATTCACTCTTTTTCGTGCTTCTGCTCTTCTGAGATGATTTTAGAGGGTCTGGGGCGTCTCCTATTTATAGGAGCAGAAAACTCAGAATATTCCCTCTTTCTTTGGGAATAAGTCACATTATAATTATTAAGATAATTACTCTCATAATTAAATATAATCTTAATTATCTCCATAGTATTTCTCTTATTAATTATCCATCTTATTTCCACGGCAAAAATACGAAATAATTAATTAGAAATTTCATTTATAGTTTCTCAAAGGCTATTCATCCCAACAAAACCAAACACGTCCAATAAATACAGATTTCAAGACCAATCAGATCAACAACGCGGAGTGGGAATCGCGAAACTAATTTTTTAATTCGTACAGGTCTATCTACCTACAAGATTCCCGGCCGGTCAGAGTTCGCCGTCGTCGGGAGAACTGGAAGAAGAAGAAGACACGAACAGCTGAATCTGCTCCAGAAAGCTCAGATTCTGAGGCCGATCCTTCCTACTCACATAACCCCTCGCCTCTTTCTCGCCGTACACCCAATACCCTCTCTTCCCGCACCTCTCCCACATCTCCGCCGCGTAGCTTCTCTCCGCAAAATACGCCTCCACCACACACGCGGTGGTTTCCTCTCCTCCTCCGCCGTCAATGGGGTCCACTCTGATCGGCAGCCGCTCGTAGTGGCCGCGAGCCGTACCCTCTAGCTCGTCCAGGCGGGCGAGTCCTCGGGCGGAGACAGCGTACAGCTCGCCGGAGACTCGGTCGGAGCCGGCGGCGCGGGGGAGGTTGAGAAGGAATGGCACGCGGTAGGGCCCGCAGACGAGAGGGTAGGGTTCGAGGGTGCGGCAATTGCATCGGAAGGCCGCGTCGTCTGTGCGCATCAGATCTTGCATTAGGCCATGATTGGAGAATCCCTTCTTCAGAGTGCCGTATGTGAAGATCAGCGTCGCCACCGCCGCCGGACTGTGGTTCTGGATCCCCATTTTTGCCGGTGAGAGGGAGGGAGAGAGAGAGAGAAGACTCGCTACTAAAGGTCGTTAGAGTGCTAGACGAAGAACCAATGGAAACATTCTTTCCCTTTTATATTGGGGAAAAAGGGGAATAATTCTTAAACACACAAATAGGAACCAATTCCAATCAAAAGAATCAAACCCCAATCCCTACTTCTTTCAAATCGGGACCAGAAACCCCAAGGGCCGATCGGATCAGTACCGTTCAACTTCCATACCCTTTTAATTCCTCGAGCTCCCTTCGTTCTGCAAAAGATGCCGATAGTGCTGCTCGCGGTGACGGTTCACCACATGGGTTTGTTCTTCGGGACCCTGTGGGGGCTTCAGGAGCTCCGATTCGCCGCCATTTTTGAAGCAGTGCGCTCTGCCGTCTCCTGCTTCACCAGAGCTGTCGTCTGTTGCGTCATTTCATTTCACAGACGCCGGAGATCCCGAGATTCTGCAGTCGCGGCTTTCATTTGACCTGGATACTACTTCTTTGTGTTTTGCTTTCTTCTTCATATATAATCCTCTGTTGCTTCGTTCTGCAATTGTTTGTTCCTCTTTGTATCATCAACAATTAACCATATGCACAAAAGCACTCTCCTTATACGGGATAAGGGGGAAAGAAAGGTAATTCCAGTCAGCCAGCCGGCAGGCGTTCTGGTGGCGGGGAGACTTCAGAAGCGTAGCTCAGAGTCCGGCGATCGAGTTGAAAGTCAAGATCTTGTTTGGATAAACCGTGAGCTTCAAACCCTGAGAGTTCGATTTTCATGGCGGGTCCTTGCCCCACTGACAGTGAGAATTTCTCAAGTAAAAACGATGTTCCATTAACCTTGACTATCTATTCTTCACTTTGATGGCACCACTTTTAGACTGTTAGCAATGCAGAGCTCTGTTCTCGTTCTTCAGAGTGATTTGACAAAAGAGAACTTTGTATAATTTAAGAAAATTCAGGGCCCTAAATGTGAGTACCCTTCTTTTTCTTTTGCCTTTTTTCTCAGCAATTTTCTGTATATCATACATTATACAAGTGTGAGGAGACGTGGGAAACAAACACAAAACGAGGATGAGAAATCCTTGCCCCAAAAAGAAAGAAAAACAAACAGTGTCGTATCTGTTTCTGTCATGGTTAAGCCGGCGGTTGTGATGGTCAGGATTTATCTCGACTTCGATGAGGGATCACTGGTTGTAGAAATGACCACAATCAGCATTCATTTCCTGTGCCGCTTCTGAGAATCCCTCACAGTGGGCAACAATCTTGACACCGAATACGGGCATCCGAAGAACAGCAGAATGTTCTTGCAGTCTTTCTCGACAACCTCGTCCGTAGCAGTCCTTTGAGCGCTTAAATGGCTTAGATAAGTCTTCCCTTCGTATATGTAAGACAGCTGCTGCCAGAGAAGCACACTAAGCCCTATCTGCACTGATATACCGGCAAAGAAGAGATACACCAGAACAAGCCCTCTTGCTGTCAGAAGCAAAGCTGAGTTCAGCAGGGCTAGGAAACTCTCTGTCAATGTTCTCCAAGCTACATCACTGTTTATCCCACTCAATGGATCTAGGGGTTGTCGGTATGTTAATGGCGGCCAAATCTGGGAACCTACATAAGCTGACATGAATGCAACGTATAACATGCTGGCCACTGCTGAGATGAGGAACAAGATGAAGTGCCGGTGATTTGCTGCACCAACGCAGTTTCCTATCTGTAGAAACAACATATATAGATGTGCCAGTTAGGATTCAGCATTAAGAGGACTAAATATGTCAAGAAAATAGAACAAGCTGAAGCTGCAAGATTTCGACAAGAAAACAGAGCAGATCCTAAACAAGCCGGATTTGAGGGCCCCTAAGCTGCAAGATCCGGGAGTTGTCAAAATATCAGATTTGTGAAATGCGCATCCACTTGCAGTAAGCTGTGCTGTATAAATATTTTGCTAACCAACATTTGGGATCACAATATAGCACTTCCCAGCCAGAACTCCTAGTAACCGGCAAAGGGATAAGCCACCGCAACCAATTTAACCCATTAACCATGTTTTGATACACAATCGAACCTCACTGAACTCATAAAATCACACTTGTATTTAAACCTGTTTTCATCCTCTTCTCCTATCCAGGAAGGCGCAGGTTCTCTAAAGCACAGTTCAGTGGCAACTTCCAAACATAAAGATGGATAAGTTATCATAGTATTGAAGGACAATTACATATGAAGCTTAATTGCAAGAGTCCAACTTGTTTCTTAATCAGAAAAATGACTTACAAAAGGGCAGTGATGATCCATGTCTAGGATACAGAATCCACAAGAGCGACAATGATGACTCCTCGGTGATTTGGGCTTTAAACAATCATGACAGAAGGTATAGTTCTCAAGGTGACCTTTCCCAACAACTGGATAGCTCCCCCACTGTATGATAGGTGGTGTGCCAGCACACCCAAAGGAAGCAAGGGCGAATGTCGAAAGAGTGCTCAGAGACAAGACAGCAGCTATAAACGAGTGAAGAACGCCAGCAAATAGGCTGTTGTCGAAAAGAATTGGAAGCACAGCCCACAGGCCACCACCTACATTGTCAAACGAGAGAGGAACATCAAATACAAATGAAAGTAGACAACCTTAAGCAACAAGCAATTGGGGGGTTGGGGGAGATTATCATTGGTGAAGTACAAAACCAAACTAGCACAGTATATCTGGAACAGTTACAAAAACAGGATTTCTCATATGAAGGAAACATGGGTGAGACGTACCTATTACTAAGAGCATGAAGCCAAGAAGGACAAATACGAAGCATCGGTCTCTCAGGCGTTTCTAAAAGACTCAAGGCATACCTTTCTATTATTAACTCAAGGATTATATAGTACAATACAGCAGAGTGTGCAACGGAAGAAAAGTAACAGAAGGAGAGAAAAGTGGAGCTCAACGTTCCACATATAACAGATAACAAACAGCCTATAATGCAGGAATCAGGTACACTTCATCACCCCCCCGCAAGTTGAGGCTCGGAGAGGCGAAACTTGGAGCAGAACTTGGTGAAGGGCTGCCGAGGTAACGGTTTAGTGAGGACGTCTGCAAGTTGATCAGGTGCTGGAAGATAATGCACACGAAGCCGGCCTTTGCTGACTTGATCACGGACAAAATGGAACTCAATTTCCATATGCTTCGAGCGATTGTGAAACACTGGATTATGAGCAAGGAAAGTTGCTCCTAGGTTGTCGCACCAAAGAGCTGGAGCTGATGGTAGCTGCTGCCCAAGCTCAGTGAGTAATGACTGCAACCAGAGAACCTCTGAAGCCAGAGTAGCAAGAGCACGATATTCGCATTCTGTTGAGGAGCGGGCAACAGACTTTTGTTTCCGAGTAGACCAGGAAACGAGGTTGGATCCGCAGAAAACAGCGAACCCGGTGACAGACTTACGATCCTGTGGGCAAGACGCCCAAGAGGCATCGGAGTAGCCATGAATATGTAAAGATGAGGACTTGGTGAGAACTAGACCACGATCGATAGTGCCTTTGAGGTACCGAAGAATCCGTTTGACCGCTGCCCAATGATTATCCGTCGGAGCGTGCTGGAATTGCGAGACATGGTTCACGGCAAATGCAACGTCTGGACGAGTAAAACTGAGATACTGCAGACCACCAACTATGCTGCGATACATGCCTGGGTCTTGAAATTGAGGAGAAGTTGACAGAGCAGACTGTTGAATTATGTCAGTTGTGCAGGGTGTGGAGATTGCATTGGCCTCCGACATATGAGCACGTTCAAGTAAATCTTGGACGAACTTGCGCTGCCGAAGAAGAAGACCAGTGGGCGTACGACACACTTCAATGCCAAGAAAATATGCGAGAGGGCCCAACTCACGAAGAGCAAAGTTGTCGCGAAGAAATGTGAACAGCCGCTGTATGAAAGATGAATCATTGCCTGTGATGACTATGTCGTCAACATAGACGAGCATATAAACCCGAGTCGAACCTGTCTTATAGATGAACAAAGAAGGGTCAGTTCTGGAAACAGAGAAACCAAATCGTGTAAGGGCAGCAGCAAGACAGCTGAACCATGTTCGGGGTGCTTGACGTAGACCATAGATCGATTTCCGAAGCCGACATACATAATCGGGCCTGTCTGGATCGACAAAGCCAGCTGGCTGCTGCATATATACAGTTTCTTGCAATTGACCATGAAGGAAGGCATTGGCTATGTCAATTTGATGAAGAGGCCAGTCCTGAGTGACCGCCAGGCCAAGAATTAGGCGAAGCGTTGCAGGTTTGAGGACCGGGCTGTAGGTCTGCTGGAAATCGAGTCCGGGAATCTGCTCATAGCCACGAGCAACCAAGCGAGCACGACGACGGTCCAATGAGCCAGTAGGATGAAGTTTGGTGCGATACACCCACTTGTTGGAGAGGATATTGCAGTTGGAAGGCGGGGGAACCAAGTCCCAGGTGTGGTTGCGTTGCTGTGCATCAAATTCTTCTTGCATAGCCGAGCGCCAGAGGGGGTTCTTGAGCGCCTGCTTGACAGAGGAGGGTGTGTCATCAACGTGGAGGTTGGAAAGAAAGGCTTTGGGTTTTAGATTCCCTGTTTTGATACGGGTGACCATGGGATGCTGGGAGCTCGTTGGGTTTGTGATAGAAAGCAGGCGCGGGGAGGTGGTGAAAGGCGGCCGATCGGGAACTGGGCGGCGTGGAGGCAGGGGAGTTGGAGTTGGACGAGGGGAAGAGGTGGGGGACGAGGGAGATGGTGAGTGAGGTTGGGCCTGAGAGATGGGCTGGAGGGAGGGCGACGGGTCGGTAGACGGTGTGGATAGATGGAGTTGGGCCGGACTGATCGGTGAGGGATTGGTGGACGAAGAAGGGTGGGTAGCAGGCTGGAGGGGCGAAGGATTGGGGGGAGCAGGCCGACGCCTGTGGTACTGTAGGAGAGGACGAGTGGGCGGGGAAGGAGTCTCGGAAGTAGTGGGCTGGGTAGAATCAGTGGGCTGGGAAGTAGGGGGATGGATAGAAGCAGGGGAAGGGGAATTTGGGCCAGGGGTGGTATGAGGGACGGGCCTGGGTAGGGGGGGTGGTAAGGAGCCATGGGTAATGGCAGTGGGAGGGGGGAATAAAATGGGCGGTGAGTGAGAATTAGTGGGTAAGGAAGGGGAGGGATTAGACAACTCAGCAAACGGAAATTGAGTCTCATCAAATAAAACATGGCGACTAACATAGATCCGACCAGTGGAAATGTGAAGGCAACGATAACCCTTGTGAAGTTTGCTGTACCCAAGAAAAACACATGGAACAGACCGAGGAGCCAATTTGTTGGGAGAGAGGGGACGAAGCCAAGGGTAGCAAAGGCACCCAAAGACACGAAGGTTAGTGATATCGGGAGCGCGTTGAAAGAGAAAATGAAAAGGAGAATCATGATTAAGAAGCGGAGTAGGGGTGCGATTGATGAGGTAACAGGCCGTGTCGAAAGCAAGAGACCAGTATTTCAAAGGAACATGGGAGTGATGAAGAAGAGCAAGCCCGTTATTAACAATATGCCGATGTTTTCGTTCGGCGCACCCATTTTGTTCGGGAGTATACGGGCAGGAGGAGCGATGAGCAATGCCATTTTGGGCGAGATAAGTGGAGAGGGCTTGATATTCACCGCCCCAGTCAGATTGAAAGGTTTTGATGGGGAGACCAAAGAATTTTTCCACTAACTGCCTAAATTGAATAAACACATTTAGCAATTGTGATTTATAACGAACAAAGTAAATCCACGAGAATTTGCTATAATGATCATAAAAGAGAATATAATAGGATTGCTCATCGTAAGACAAAATAGGTGCGGGACCCCATACATCACTACAGACTAGTTCGAGAGGCGCCTTGGCCTGAAATGTTGAAGCAGAAAAAGGGAGTTTGTGGATTTTACTGACGGCACAGCCATGACACAAAGAAGGAGAAGATGGTTCGAATTTTATTTTATTTTGGTGAAGGACTTGCTTGACCGCACGACCGTGAGCATGCCCAAGCCGATGATGCCAAGTATCAAACGAAGCCACACAAGCAATGGGGGATAGAGGCCGAGAAATAGTGATGGGAAGCGAGTAAAGACCATCCACGGCAAAGCCACGATGAAGTTCACGCCCCGTGCGTCGATCCTTGATGAGAAAAAGAGAGTCAAAAAATTCAATCGAGATAGGATTAGAACGAGTGAGAGAGCTAATGGAAAGAAGATTGTAGGGAGAATCATGCACATGAAGAATATTATCGAGAGAAATCGGAGTGTTTGATAGAGAAGTGGAAGAGGAGCCAAATCGAGAGATGAGAAGAGAGTTACCGTTGCCAAAAGTCACTTGATCAGTCCCGTTGTACTCAGAATGATGAGCAAGGTTGTCCAATTCTGAGGTGAGATGATGATTCGTGCCCGAATCCAAAAGCCACTGATGTGAATCAAAGGGTTGAACAGGGGAGGAAGAAAGAAAAGCATGTGGGCCTGCTGGTGGGCGAGACGGACGTGGATGGGAAGGCTGAAGCTGTTGGGCTGAGGTTGGGGGCGGATTCACTAGTGGGCTAGGGCAATGGGGCTTTATGTGGCCCTGTCCTCCACAATTAAAACAGATCAAACCTCCAGTGGGCCTAGGCCCAAGAACCCCACTCGCTGGGCTTGACCTGCCATAAGCATCATAAACAACAGATTGGTTAGAACGACGATTTCCACGGCCATAGCCGCGTCCTCGTCCTCGGCTGCCTCGGCCGCGATAGCCACCAGGACCGGAGAAGAAGGGCGGCGGAGCGGGATAGCTGAAGCGGCCACTGCCGCGATATCCATCAACGCTGGAGAAGAAGGCCGACGGCGCGGGAGAGTCGGTGTGGGCGGCATATCGCTGGAGCTGGAGTTCTTCACTGAGAAGAAGAGAATGAAGATTCTCGAAGCTGATGGGTTCCAGCCGAGACTCGATGTGACGCACGAAGGGCCGATAGTCTTCTCCCAGACCATCGAGGATCCAAGCTGTGAGATCATCGTTTTTGACAGGAGATCCCAGGGCCGCCAATTGATCCGCCTTGGTTTTGGCTGTTTGCATATAATCATGAATGCTTGAATCGCCGCGACGGATGGTTTGAAGCGTCTTGGTGAGCTGCCGAATCTGGATCTGCGAACCAGAGGCGTAGATTGTGGCGAGAGCTGTCCACGCATCAAACGCCGTGACCTTGTTGATGATGTTAGGCATGACGGATTCAGAGAGGGAAAAATTGATCAGGGTAAGTACATACTGATCTCTTTGGTACCAAGTCCAGTAGGCTGGATTTGATTGCCCATCAATGGATTGAGGTGGAGCAGGAAGAGAGCCGTCAACATGGCCCATCAAGCAGTGACAACGAAGAAGAGGGGTTATTTGGGCATGCCATAGGAGGTAGTTGGTTTGTGTAAGTTTGACACTGAGCTGGGGATTGGCAGGGAGAGAGATAGCGGAGAAGGTAGAGGTCATAGCGGCAGAATCGCCTGAAGCAGAGGAAGAAGAAATTGAGGATGATTCAGTGGCCATGTTGATAGGGGAGAACAGAAGAAGAAAGGAAACAGAGAAGCAGAAGAATTTTGTCTCGTTAGAGCTCAGATAGGCTCTGATACCATAAAAGACTCAAGGCATACCTTTCTATTATTAACTCAAGGATTATATAGTACAATACAGCAGAGTGTGCAACGGAAGAAAAGTAACAGAAGGAGAGAAAAGTGGAGCTCAACGTTCCACATATAACAGATAACAAACAGCCTATAATGCAGGAATCAGGTACACTTCATCAGTTTCCACCAGAACCATTTGTTTTCACGCTTTTTATCGTTTTGGTTCGTCACTGCTCCACACCAACCACACTTGAACACAGGTGCATTGGATGGAAGAATTAGGCGTAAACCGCAGCCCCAACAAGTCGTCTCATGATCCTCCGATACTGTAGCCACAAATTGCTCCTGCATTACCAAGAGGAAGAGAAAAAATTGGCATTCCTTTATGTTTCAGCACAATACCGTCACAGGTAATATGTGTTTCCCCATTTGAAAGAATAATCCATCGAACGACTAGGTCCTCAAAAAATTCAAACATGAAACTTGAACCATGTGCACCCTCCTAGTTTCAATAATCTTCCTCAAATACCAACCCAACTGCAGCTTACGGACTATTTGCAGCAAGGATCTGTTGGAAATGTGTATGAATAGCTTTGAAAGCTATAGAGTCTCAAGTGGAAAAACTACCACATTGGTAGTTTTACTTGGTGAAGTGATAATAAAGATAGGAGCCTCTCTCCTAAGGGCATGCCCCTTGGGGTGACCCACTTTTGTGGGAGAGGGAGGACCTAACGGACCACCACACACACGCGCGCGCGCCGTCCGTCCGGCCGGCCGGTTGGTTGGATGGATCACTTGAGACTATATACATATTTTTTAGAGAAATTAATTATTAATCGGTTATTCTGAGGAATATTCTAGGGATAATCGATTGAAAAGGATAATCTCAGCAGGATTTATCCTAACCGACGGTTTTAATTAAGGAAGTAATTATCTTCCTTAATTAATCCGACTTATTCCCCAAGCTAGAGGCCTATAAATAGCCGCCTCCCCAGCCCCTCTAAACACACGACAACGAGCATAAACACAAAGAGAGAGTGTTCATAGAGCTCAGGTTTTCGCACAAAACCGCGAGTATTGAGAGGAGCTGTTTTATCCTGGAGACGACCGGTTGATAGTCTGCCGTGCGCATCGAGGGCAGTGCCGCGAACGTCTTAAAGAGAGCGACCTAGTCCGCGACTCAGCTCCAGATTCGGTAACCTCGTTCCTGTTGTTGTTCCGTTCCTAACAGGATCAATCTCAGCTTTAGCCAAACCCAGTTTCATCTCTTATAAACAATTCAGCTTCTACCATTCTGTCTAACTAAAAGCTTTTGACCAATACGAATTCCATCCTGAGTCAATGAATTTCGAATCACAACATAAATAACAAAATATGGAAACCCATTAAACTTTCCTCCAATCGATTATTGCCAAAGGTGAGAGTAATATATCAATCCCATCAAACCCATTGCAGACAAGACTAAATACGAATTTGTTGCGGTTACTTTATCTTGTGTCCCAAGTAACCGAGTCTTTGTGTCCTTGTACATGTAAGTTTCCTAGTTAATGTTGTAAAGGGAAACCGAGAGTCTGAGTTATAGTCGAGGCATTAGTCTCTTTCTCGGTCACTATATATATGCTTAGCTTGGGTCATGTAAAAGCAAGCAGTTGTCTCTCGCAGTCATAAATAAAAACTCAGTCCGTGAGCTCGTTCCGAGCTCACCGTGGATTAGTCCTGTTCACAACGAACAGGGATACCACGTAAAACCCGTCTTTGTGTTCTTGTTCTTTCCGCGTTCCACGAATTCTACATGGTATCAGAGCTGATTTCGAATCATCCTAGGGTTTGATTTTCAGCTTCAAGTTCTATAGTCCTCGCTGCTGATTGGTATTCTTCATCATGTCCGATGAAGAGTCGAGTGCAACGGCGTCCGGTGAGAAGAAGCCAGCCGATGCAGTCGACGTCATAGGTCCGACGTCTCCTTTGTTCCTCCATCCGTCAGACACCCCTAGTCAAGTCTTTGTCGCCGATCTGCTGACCGACGCAAATTATGGGGATTGGTCAGCCGAGATCTCAAATGCCCTGCTTGCTAAAAACAAACTCGGTTTTGTCCTGGGAACCGTCGTCAAGCCCGCGTCCGGCGAGAAGCTCAACGCGTGGGTGCGGTGCAATGCGATGGTCGTCGGGTGGCTGCGTCAGGCCATGTCACGAGAGATAAGGTCAAGTATTAGCTCCAATTTTACCTCGAAGCAAATTTGGGATGAGCTGCAGGAGCGGTTCAGCACTGGAACTCTTCCCCGTCGCTACAAAATTCGCCGCCAGATCACAAGTTTGCGGCAGGATCGAGCGAGTGTGTCCACCTTCTATGCTAAACTCAAGCGAGCATGGGACGACTGGTTAACACTCGATCCTCCAGCGCGGTGCACCTGCGGGAATTGCACTTGCAACGTCGAACAAAGAACTCGGGAGTCACACGAGTCCATGAAGCTGCTCGACTTTCTGGTTGGGCTTGACGATAGTTTTGCCACTGTCCGCACTCACCTGCTGTCGTTGAAGCCTGCGCCCAGCCTTGGAGAAGCTTATCACGCCGTCGCCAATGATGAGCAGCAGCGAAACTTGACTAACGACAACAGACCACGAGTCGAGGCCGCCGCCTTTCAAGGACAGGGGGAGCAGCAAGATGAGCGGACTCCAGATGGCCGACCTCTATGCAGTCACTGCGGCAAGCTCGGCCACTTCAAAAGCACGTGCTATGACTTTCATGGCTGGCCGCCCAAGTCCGCAGAGAAGTCAGGGCGTTCTCGTCGTCAGGGATCATCTCGTCCATCCCGTTCTGAACCTCAAGCAGCGGCAGTGGAGCGTACTGAAGTTTCCATTCCAGGCCTTACTGCCGAGCAAATTGCCCAACTTCGGGCATTCTTGAGCTCGGAGCCAACCACGGCTCAAGTCCAGTCGCAACCTACTGCAAATTTGTCAGGTATGTCCTCGATCGATTTATCTACAGCATGGGTTATTGATTCCGGGTGTAACGAACACATTGCTAAAGATAAATGTTTGTTTGATGGCGAGTTGGACACCGACTCGAGTTTACAGGTTCGTATTCCTAATGGGACAGGCATCACTGTTCAGGGTATTGGGAATTCGAGATTGAGTAATGGGTTTATGCTTCGTCGTGTTCTGCATGTTCCTGAGTTCCAATGCAATCTATTGTCTGTCAGTCGTCTTACCGCCGATCATGCTGTTGCCGTAATTTTCTTGAGTGATTTCTGCGTACTACAGGACTTACGCTCCAGAGTGATGATTGGGATGGGTAGACGTGTCGATGGTCTCTATTACCTGCAAGTGTTTGATGGGCGTCATCCAGTAGCACTCACGGCAAAGCAGGCCATTAGAGACTCTCAGTTGTGGCACTCGAGGCTTGGTCATCCGTCGGCATCGAAGTTTTCAGTTTTGCAGTCTTATATTTCAAGTACTTTGATTGTCAATAAGGACCCGTGCGTATCTTGTTTGCGGGCTAAACAAACTCGGTTACCGTTTGTTACAAGTACTGTTAAGACTACGTCGTGTTTTGATCTCATTCATATCGATATCTGGGGAGGATATCAACAGGCCTCATTTTCCGGTGCACATTATTTTCTCACGATAGTCGATGATTTTAGTCGTGTTGTGTGGGTGTATTTGTTGAAGCAGAAATCCGAAGTTGCTCGGTATCTTCTTATGTTTTTCAACCAGGTTCAGACGCAGTATGAGAAAAATGTCAAACGCATCCAAGCCGATAATGGTAGGGAGTTCAGCACTCCTGAGCTCCGTGACTTTTATGAACAGAATGGAATTATACTCCAGACTTCTTGTGTACACACTCCGCAGCAAAATGGGGTTGTTGAAAGGAAGCATCGACACCTTCTCGACACTGCACGAGCACTCCGATTTCATGCTGGTCTACCGATTCATTTTTGGGGAGAGTGTGTTCTCACGGCGGCTTACCTTGTAAATCGTATGCCACTAGTCACCATTCAGAATCGGACCCCTCATGAAATTCTTCTTGGTCATCGTCCGCAATACACTCACCTACGAACCTTTGGCTGTCTTGTCTATGCCAAGGATACTCGTCCTGGTCTCTCCAAGTTCGCAGCTCGTGGAAAACCAGGTATATTTGTTGGGTACCCTGCGCACCAGCGGGGATATCGGGTTTTCGATATTGCACGACGGGTCATCTACACTTCCCGTGACGTTTTCTTCTTGGAAGAAGTCTTCCCATTCCAGAAGCTAGGGACGTCGGCAGCCTTGCCCCCAGTTTCGCCTTTGTCCTGGCCGCATGATGATGATGAAGATGAGTCGGCTGATCCTGGGGTTTTTGACATGGTGCAGGGAGTTGCTTCTTCACTCGACGAAGAAGAAATTGCTGGCGTGGCCCAGCAGTCGCCCGACGCAGCAGCACCTACCACTCCAGCACCTTCGCCACCAACGTCGTCCGAAAGCCCATGCACGACCAGCTCCCCTGTCTCGCCTCCTACTTCGGCATCACCATCCGCCCTTGATCCAAGTCCCAGCATCATCTCAGGGAGTCCAGATGGCGCTGCTAGCGCCTCGTCCTCGCCCGCGTCACCGGCCGAGCCCGCTCCACGTCACAGCAAGCGCGTTGTGCGCCCTCCTGTCCGACTTCAAGATTATGACACCGATCTCCCCGGTTTACGTCCGCATGCACAGCATGCTACCTTGTATCCCTTGAGCAATCATGTCACGTACGAGAGGTTGTCTCCCGATCATCGTGCGTTTGTGGCCAATGTCTCGGCTACATTTGAACCCAAGCACTTTTGGCAAGCAGTCCGTTATGAGCATTGGAGGAAAGCAATGCAAGAAGAAATCAATGCTCTTGAAGCAAACGGAACATGGTCGTTGGCAAATGCGCCGCCTGGCAAACGCATCGTCGACTGTAAGTGGGTCTACAAGGTCAAGTTCAAGCCTGACGGTACTGTCGATCGGTATAAAGCTCGTTTAGTGGCAAAGGGTTTCACCCAGATCGAAGGTATTGACTATCACGATACTTTTGCTCCCGTGGCCAAGCTCGTCACTGTTCGATGCTTAATTGCCGTTGCCGTCAGTCAGAACTGGTTTCTCCACCAGCTCGACGTCAACAATGCGTTCTTACATGGCGATTTGCACGAAGAAGTCTATATGCGAGTTCCCCAAGGTTTCTCTCGTCCTGGTGATTCTCGTGTATGTCGGTTACAGAAGTCTCTCTATGGTCTACGTCAAGCATCGAGAAATTGGTACCAAAGATTTTCTCGTGCACTTCTTGGGTTACGGTTTGTCCAAAGCCGTGCGGATCACTCATTGTTTACTTACCGGTCTGGTTCAAGTTTTGTTGCTGCACTCATTTATGTCGACGACGTCATTCTCGCCGGCAATGATGAGAAGTTCATGCAGCGGGTCAAAGACTTTCTCCACGCCGAGTTCACTATCAAGGACCTGGGTAACTTGAAATATTTTCTGGGCATCGAAGTCGCCCGGTCGCGTCAAGGCATTGTGCTAAATCAACGAAAGTATGTTCTGGACATACTAGCTGACTGTGGTCTCGAAGGCACTCGTCCCTGTGCCACTCCCATCGAGCAAAACCACCATCTGGGTCGTGATCCCTCACCACCAGCTCCTGATCCCTCGAGTTTTCGACGTCTCGTTGGACGGTTGCTCTATCTTACAGTCACCCGTCCTGATATCCAGTACGCAGTCAACATACTCAGTCAGGCAGTTCATGCGCCTACCCAGGCCCACGTTGATGCTTCCGTACGCATATTGCGTTACTTGAAGCAGTCCCCTGGTCGTGGTCTCTTCTTTCCGGCTCAGAACCCTCTCCGTCTCGAGGCTTACTGTGATGCCGATTGGGGTGGTTGTCCTACCACTCGTCGCTCCACTACCGGTTATTTTATTAGCCTTGGTAGTGCTCCCATTTCTTGGCGGACCAAGAAACAGTCAGTCGTTGCCCGATCCTCTGCTGAGGCCGAGTACAGAGCCATGGCCACCACTGTCAGTGAGATCGTCTGGCTCCGTTGGTTGCTCTCTGAGCTTGGACACCCTTCCACGCCTGCTACTCCTCTACATTGCGATAATCAAGCTGCCTTGCATATTTCGGCTAACCCCGTGTTTCATGAGCGCACAAAACACGTTGAGATGGATTGTTACTTCGTTCGGGAACGTGTTCTCTCTGCCGATATTGCTCCTTGCAAGATCGCTACTCATGAACAGCCTGCCGATTTATTTACCAAGGGCTTGAGCGTGGATCAGTTTGGTCATCTCCTTTCCAAGCTCGGCATGTTGGATATTCATGCTTTCGCTTGAGGGGGAGTGTTGCGGTTACTTTATCTTGTGTCCCAAGTAACCGAGTCTTTGTGTCCTTGTACATGTAAGTTTCCTAGTTAATGTTGTAAAGGGAAACCGAGAGTCTGAGTTATAGTCGAGGCATTAGTCTCTTTCTCGGTCACTATATATATGCTTAGCTTGGGTCATGTAAAAGCAAGCAGTTGTCTCTCGCAGTCATAAATAAAAACTCAGTCCGTGAGCTCGTTCCGAGCTCACCGTGGATTAGTCCTGTTCACAACGAACAGGGATACCACGTAAAACCCGTCTTTGTGTTCTTGTTCTTTCCGCGTTCCACGAATTCTACAGAATTCGAGGTCAAGCTACGCAGAGTTCTTTACAAGAGGCGAGGAATTCAAAACGGAAGCAAACTTTGTGATCAGTTTTCTACAGGGCAGAGAACACAGCAACGATAGGAAGCAATTGAAGATGGAGAAACGGGAAGGATTGAGAACTGACCTTGTCTTCGGAGTCGGCCATGGTGAGACGGGGCCTTGGCCGGCTTCGTTATCTCAGATGTGATCGGACAGAGACGGAAGAAGAGCCTTGAGCCTTCTTCCCTTCCTCCAATCCCCCTGACGCCTGTTTCTCCATTGCTCTCCTCGTTTTCTTATCATTTTTAATATTTTTTTGTTTGCCTATTTCCCCTTAATTTTCCTTGTCCTTATGTTTTATCGGAATATTTGATTTAATTTTATCAGTATATAATGTAGACAAGCGACACATTTAAATTTTGGTTACTTTACCGTTTTCACCAAAAATTATCTTAATTAATAAATTAACAATAGGTTAAATGATATCATCATTGAGTTAATCATTTTGTTTTACATTTGTTATTAATTATTTTTTGTTGCACTAGTATAGTATGAGGGTTACTATTTGCCGCCCGGGCAATTACTATTTGCCGCCCGTAAAAAACACTAAAAGGACAATTTTGCCCTCCAAATATTTCTTTATATTCTATTCGCTGAATGGTTTTTTAAACAACTTACACACTACCCGAGTCCCGACCACCAACCCCCCACAAACACCACAGCCACCGGACGGCAGCCAAACTCGCCGGTCACCGGACCAATCTCGTCAGGATATCGCCGGGCACTGGACGGCAGCCGTACCCCGTCGTCGGACCAGCGAAGCAGGTAAACCTCTTGCTGATCCTGAATTTTTTGTTCGGTCCGCTCGCCGGCGTCGGGCCCCGTCCGCTAGCCGGAGGCGGACCCCGTCCGCTCGCCGTCATCGGACCGCGTCCGCTCGCCGTCGTCGGTCGCCGTCCGAAGCCGGCGAGCGGACGCCGTCCGACGCCGGCGAGCGGACGGGGTCCGACGCCGGCGAGCGGACGGGGTCCGACGCCGGCGAGCGGACGGGGTCCGACGCCGGCGAGCGGACGGGGTCCGACGCCGCCGAGCGGACGGGGTCCGACGCCGGCGAGCGGACGGGGTCCGACGCCGGCGAGCGGACGGGGTCCGACGCCGGCGAGCGACGACCGGTTGCATAACAGTGTTGTATGTTTTCCTATTTTATTTCTAGAGCTAATAATTTATAATTTATTGCTTTTATTTCTATTTTACATAGTTAAATTCCTTTGTAGTTTGAATTAAGCGAATCGTATTTTGTTGTAGCGCTAATTAGTTTCTTACTGTCAAATTATCGTTATTTTGTAGAGTTAATTAAATTATTGCATGTAGTTTAATTTTGTAGAGTCAATTGAAGCACAATTAGTTTAATTAAGCGATTGTGTTTTGTTGTAGCCCTAATTAGTTTATTGTGTTTAGATATAATTCGTAGAGCTAAAGATGTTTAAAAATTTATATTAAAATAATTTTCTTATCGTCAAATTATCATTATTTTTTAGAGTTAATTAAATTATTACATTTAGTTTAATTTTGTAGAGTCAATTAAAGCACAATTAGTTTAATTAAGTGATTGTGTTTTGTTGTAGCGCAAATTAGTTTTATTGTGTTTAGATTTAAATCGTAGAGCTAATTTGGTTTAATAATTTATATTTAAATTATCTGTATTTTTTAGACTTAATTAAATTATTGCATTTAGTTTAATTTTGTAGAATCATATAATTTGTACATTTCTAACGAGAGTCAAAATCATAATTGCAGGTGGACATGGCTGACAATGTTGAACTAATTGGTGATTACACAGACCATTTTCTTAATGGCGTCCGATATGCCAATTTCGAAGATGCTGTAACAGAGACCAAAAACATCGCGATGTCTCTTGGTTTCTTTCTAACTAAGGGATCGATGAAGCCACGTGACTTGGGCAACGAAAGATCATTGGGTATCTGTTATATGTATTGCGACAGATGCAGTAGGGAGAGGAAGTCATACAAGCCGGATCCTTCCAAAGAGAGTCGTGGCAATACAAGTTCAAAAGGAGCGGGATGCATGTTCAAGATTAAAATCAAAGAAATACTGGTTAATCCAGATGCTCTTGATGGACCTACATTCTGGGAGATACAAGGAGTCGCGGAGCAAGGAACCGGTTTAAGGCGAGGGTATCACAGTCATGAGAAAATGCTTTATCCCGAGGGCCACAGTCAAATGAATAAATTGAGTCAGGAGGATAAAGAATCTCTTAAGCAGATGAGAGATGCTGGGGTACCTCCGTCGCAACAGAAGCAAACAATAAACAAGCAGAAGGGTGACAAAGGGCATCACACCCAAAGGCAGATGTATAACCTCGGGTCCAAGTCTAGGAAAGAAGAGATGGGCGAGATGAATGCAGTGCAGTATGCGTTGCTACAAGCTGAACGTGAGAATTATCATACAGAGGTTATGAAGGACGATGACGACGTGCTGACACATCTTTTCTTTGCCCATCCAACTTCCATCCAGATGTTGAAGGCTTGGCCGTACGTGATTCTGATCGACTCAACGTATAAGACCAATGCATATAAATGGCCGTGGGTGGAGGTCGTAGGTGCAACTCCAGTTGGGAAGAATTTCAACATCTGTTGTGCTCTCATGAAGGATGAGACAAAAGAGTCGTATTTGTGGCTGTTGCAGTGCATACAACAATTGCTCCATCCTCGCGTGCCCTCTGTCATCGTCACCGACCACGAAGGTGGACTACTTGCTACGGTTCCTGTGGTCTTCCCCCGCACCCCGCATTTGCTATGTGTTTGGCACATCAACACCAATGTGCAGAAGAAGTGCTTGGAAATATTTGGGAAGAACAGGATGGATTTGGTCAACGAGGCGTACGACCAATATTGGTGTCCTATGCTTTATTCTTGGTCAGAGCAAGGTATGTTGGCCGCGTTTGGCCGCTTTAGGACAAGATGGGGCAATCAAGAACCACGTCTGTTGCAATACATACAGGGAGTGTGGTGGCAACATCGAGAAAAGTGGGCTGTTTGTCATACAAAAAATGTGTTTCATCTAGGAAATACGAGCACAAACAGGGTTGAGTCGTCACATTCCGCTTTGAAGACTTTCCTCCACAACTCGCGGGGATCTATGGACACTGTATGGAAAGGAAACCACCGCTACATTACTAACCAACTCGGGGAGGTTAGGATGATGTTGGAAAACTCTAGACAGAAAACCCTTTCAGCATCCGGTGGTACACCATTCACATTCTTGAGAAGAAAGGTCAGCATGCAGGCAATTATATTAATGAAGGAGGCTGAAGAAGAATTGGGTGCCCGCTTGGAAAAAAATGAGAACTCCCGATGTGCATGTCATTTCTCTGTGACACACGGCTTGAGGTGTGGATGTCAAGTTATGGATGGCAGAGCGCGAGACATAGAGATATATCCCGGTGATATTCATATATATTGGCGGACACTGTCATATGAGCATCCACCCAATGCTCAGGAGTACGTTCCCCAGGAGGAGGAGGCTAGATCTCACCTTCGGGAGTTGGTTGATGAGGCTGTACGCAGAGGACCAGAGGCAACTAAAAAAGCAGCAAAGAACGTGTTTCGCGGTCTCCACCCGGCGGAGGACAACATTCACGAGCCAGAAGTGAACGAATTTAGAAAGGGGCGCCCAGCCAAAAAATCAACTGGAAGAATGAAAGGGTGGTGGGAAAAGATACTGCGAGGCAATAAGAAAAGCATGAAAAAGAAGTCGGGAAGCACAACGTCGGGGTCTACAAAGTCGACCAGTACCAAGTCCACGGGGACTCAGACAGACGAGTACCCGTCAGACGACCATGCAGCGGAGGAGTGTGATGATCCAGAAGATAACAACAAATACAACTGCTTTGACACAGGTACAATTTAATTTTTTTTCATAAGTGTAGTTATTTATATTAATATTTTAAAATATAATTGTGCTGATTACCTATTTTCTTCACAGATATCCCTGGACCCAGCAGCGCCCATTCCGATTACGAACACATGGAACTGCTTCCTGTCTTCATTCGGCCGCTTGTCATTGCCATCCACGACCCGGCGCCAGACGGTCATTGTGGGTTTCGTGCACTTAGTTTTGCACTATATGGTACTCAAGAAGGGTTCACAGGGGTGAGGACACGACTTGCTGAAGAAATGCGTGAGCACGATTGGCGATACGCACCCATCTACGGTGAAGGCATCAATGATGCAATCAGACGCATTGACATCACTACTACAGAACCAACGACTCAACATCATTGGATGATGGGTGTGGATCTATTCGTATTTGCCACACTATTTAATTTGGCGGTTGTCATGTACAGCCATTACTTCTACCCAACTCCGCAATCGTACAACTGCACCATTCTGCCAGTGGACAACATATATGGGGAAGCCCACCCTAGAGGAGTCATTGTTGTGCATTTCGTCCAGAACCATTGGATCAACCTCTCTTTCCCGGCGGACAAGATACCGATGCCCCCGCCACATGGCATGTGGCCAGACGGTCACCAAGCAAGCGTGGATGGATGGGAGACATATTTCGCGCCGTTTAGTCAAATGTGGTTCGATCTTGGGGGTGCGGCGAGTAACTTTCCATCACGCAAAAAGAGGGGTAAAAAGAAATAAACTTGTACTCGTCTTCAATTTAAATAAATTGTAATGAACGTCTTCAATTTAAATAAATTGTAATGAAGTTTGTTTACGTCACATGGAAGCATGATATAATAAAAACATCCAAAGTACAACATAAACCACATAAGTCATAATCAGATTACACAAATAACATAAGTCATAGTCCCAAAACAACAAATAAGCAACTGAACACCACATAACATAAGTCGTAGTAGAACACATAAGTCAACTCGTCTAAAAACAACAAATAACACTCATACATATGAAATAATAATCATACAACTACTGTGGAGGTGGTAGAAAATCTGACTTCCTCCTAAACTCGGGCCACATGTTCCCAACTCCATGACATAAGTCGTAGTACTCGTTGGCGCTAGCCATCCACTCCTCCCTACTACCCTGTGCAGCATCCATCACGGGAGATATCTCAACCCACATCTCGCGTGACAACTGTAATAAAAAACCATACAATTTAAATACATATTAGTTACAAATAATTTAATACAAATAATTTAAAATATAATTGTACTAACCGTATCAGCATCCGAGATGTCATCAACAGGTCGGCTGTCACTCAGTATATGTGGGTGCGAGTGCCTAATGTACCACGTCATGTAATTCTCAGCAAACTCCCATGGCCTACGTCGTATCTGAGTAGAAAAAACGTCCAGATGCACACTATGCGCCCCCAAGTTGTTCCAATACGAATCATAGACAGAATGGTAGCTAAGAGAGTATCCAAGCGTGGAAGCAGGTCGACGCACAACAAGCGGACGCTCCGGTGGATACGGTACTCCCTGCACGTACCCTAACTGTCGGAGGCACCTAGTGGGATCATAATATTCTGCTATCTCTGCAAATCTGAGCAGGCCCTGATACAAGGTACGTCTCACCGTCAGATGAGGACTACGACCATACGGAGTCCAAGTAACTGACTGAGGGGTCAATCTATCAATCGCCTGCCGATAATAAGCCAGCATCTGTGCATCCCTCCTCTTACTCGACCGGGGTGCTGTACCGCGCCACCTGAATGCTCCTGCCTGCCCCTGCTCCAGCTCTCGTGGCTCCAACCGAGTAGGCCTCAAAGTAGGAAAGTGGTCGTAAATCCAACACTGTAGTAAAGTCAGACAACCCGACACTCCCTTAGCCTCCGCCCGGGAGGCAATACCAAGCTGCCTGTACAGATAAGCAAGTGCTCCAGCCCCCCACGCATACTCTCCTAGCATATCCGGCCTCTTCACAAACAAGTTCACAACAGCAGAAACACGGTCCTTACTCTTATCTACGAACAGTGTGGACCCAAGCAGCAAAAGAAGGTAGCACTGAGCCTCTCTAGCTGGCGGACCAGACTGCTGCAAATGAGTCAAAGCTCCCACACCCGACAAACCAAATCCTCTGTACCACCTAGACAGACTAGCAACCTCGCCAACCTGCGCCCCGTACTCATCCTCGTCACGATCTAATCCCAGTAGTGCTCGGATGTCAGCCTCCAGTGCAAACTTCTCCAACTGCCTCGGATCCACTACCATCGCCTCTCCGTCAACCGCAAGCCCAAGAATGTGTGCCACGTCGTGAAGGAGGATCGTCATCTCTCCAAACGGCATGTGGAAGGTGTTAGTATCCGGCTGCCACCTCTCCACAAATGCCGAGATGAGAGCAGGGTCCAACTCGCTCTGGAAGGTGATATCAACGAGGTGAGCAAGGCCCGATGTCTCTACGGTAGTCCTAGCGTTATCATCTGCTATCTGATAACCGCCGAGAACGTGACAAAGGGTCGCACTCCTGTCGTAGCAAGTGATCACCCCTCTATCAGCCTCTCCCGTGTACAGACGGTGGGCAACATGCCCAAGAAAGCTACAGAGCAAACTCGGGTCGCTCGGCCCGCCAGGACACGGTCCTCTAGGCTCCCAGGCCTCTCCTACATCAGCAGTAGAACTCTGGCCCTCACCAGGCTGTGGAGCTCTATAGAAACGCCCCGCGTGGTCTCTATAGATCCCAGTAACAGCATGAACCCCAGTAACGACAGGTGACGCAACGCTGGGGGCACCTCTGTCTCTGATCGGACTGACTCGTGGAATACGTGTCTCAACAGCATCCGACTCATACTCCTCCGACTCGTCGTCAATCTCGTCTGAAGGCTCAAACGATGAAGTATGATGATCAATACCGGGACCAGCTCCACTACCACCCATACTAGGCATCCGAAAATCAAACTCAGAGAAACCGTCTGCCCTATATCTCATCGGTGTCACCTGTGGCCGTGGCTGTGGCTGAGGCTGTGGCTGTGGTTGTGGCTCATCTCTATCATTTGGGTCCTTATTTCTCGCACTAGCGCTAATGTTACGCCCAAGGAATCTTTTCAATCTCTTTCCTGGTCCTCCAGAACTACGTGATCCTCCAGAATTACCAGATGACGCCATCTCTAAACATAGACAATAATTTTCTATTAATATCTTATTGAAAATTATTTGTTGAGCAATTACTTGTTGTTCATAGAGTAATTATGATACATACAATTTGTTATCTACTTAATATTTCGTTTGATGTTATCTACTTAATTTAATTAATCTATTATAATAAATTATTAGATTAGCAATTTCTTCATAGTCATAATTTATCAATTACTAATTATGATACATACAACTTGGTTATCTAATTAATTTATCAATTACTAATTAATTTAACTAGATAGTTATTCAAATAATTATTTCAACTTACCCAACTAACACATTATATAATTAATTAACAATTATAATTATTTCAACTTACCCAATTAATAAACTAACGCATTATATAATTAATTAACAATTATAATTATATACAAATTAATCAACTATCAATATTAAATTAATTAATATACTAACAATTGTATTTAAAATAAATCTAATAAATATTTCATTAAACCAACCATTCAAACCGAATCAGAAACCCAATCAACCGGCCCGATCAGAGGGGTCCGACCAAACCGGGCGGACGGGGTCCGACCAGACCGGGCGGACGGGGTCCGACCAGACCGGGCGGACGGGGTCCGCTCCGACCGGGCGGACGGGGTCCGCTCCGACCTGGCGGACGGGGTCCGCTCCGACCTGGCGGACGGGGTCCGCTCCGACCTGGCGGACGGGGTCCGCTCCGACCTGGCGGACGGGGTCCGCTCCGACCAGGCGGACGGGGGCGAGACAGTATTAAAAAAAAAAAAATTACCTCGACGCCGACGACTGGAACAGCGGCGGCTTCAGCTTCTCCTGGGCGGCGACTCCTAGGCGGCGACTGCGAGCAGAGGGGGAAGTCGGCGGCGGCGGCTGCTTGAGGAGTTTGCCGGCGGGTGGGCTGGGGGAAGCTCTCGGCAGAGGGTGGGCTGGGCGGCAGGCAGGGAGGGGTGGGGTGGGGTTGGGGTGGGAGGGGTGTGGGGGTGGGGTGGGAGGGGTGGATAGATAGGGTTAGGGCTAGGGGCAATTTTGTCTTTTCCGTTCTAACTATGGGCGGCAAATAGTAAAACGACGGGCGGCAAATAGCGATTCAGTATAGTATTCCCCAACTTTACATCTATATGCAAACAGTACAACTATAAAAGGGTTAATCGAGTTGGCAAGAATACAGAACCTTCGTTTGAATTAGAGAACATAATTTGAACCCATCTCATTAAATATTATCCGACCTAGCCAGCGACGATTAGCTGAGAGGTTTAATCAAGTTGGCAAGAATACAAAACCTTTGTTTGAGTTGGGGCACATAATTTGAACCATTCCTGCCAGATATTGTCCAACCTTCCTTGACTAGTGATGTGGCTAATATTCGACCGTCCTAGTCGAACTAGGCTCCGGTTCTCCACAGTTACATTACACTGATTACAACTCACAACGGGAGAGTATCAATCAAGATGGACGACTTCCAGTTTCGAAAGGTTAAAAGGCAGAATTCTATAGCCTTGCCTTAGACAGGATCCACCACTAGGAAGAAGACAATATAGTTCAAGCACTAATCCAATTGTATTTAAAATAATTAGGGCAATACAACAGCTATGACCGCTATTCAAATGCAGCAAATTAAGATGATAAATACCAAAAAGATTTGACTTCAAAACAGATAAGAGGGTTTTCGTAACAAGCACTTTAGAAAGGTGAAAATGAGAGTGCTCTACTTGGTGGGTTTCTTCCCCTTGGCCTGGAAAGGGATGAATGACTTTCCACCCAAGTAGGGTCTCAGAACTTCTGGGACCTCAACCCCGTCTTCCTTCTGGTAATTCTCAAGGATGCAGCATAGTGTCCTCTCGGTAGCCGTCAGGGTCGAGTTCAACAGGTGAGCATATTGCTTCGCTGCCTCGTTTCCCTGAAGCATTATCATAGACTAGTCTCAGTGCTTCATAACCGAATCAACTACTGCTAAATCACAAAGTTTATAGGGGGTAGACAAGATCAAGTCGAAAATAAGACACAGAGGATGGCGGCACATACCTTTTTCTGCCCGTATCGGATTTCCAATCTTCTCGATTGGTAATCGGTACAATTGGAACAGGACACCAACTCCCTGTATGTTTTTGAAGCAGGAAACCATGCTTCAAGATCATACTTCTTTGCAGCAGCATCATTCAAGGCGCCAGAAACTATTGCAATTACTTGATACGGCAAGTTCAGCTGTAAGGAATAAAGGAGTGTAGCTATCAACATTAGCTTCTCAATGTGCCGAAGTCAATACGCAATATATGATAGGACTATGTACATTTTTGGAAAGAAAGAGAGTACCGATTTGTAAAAATCCTCTGAATTCTTGATCATTTCCTCATGCATGTCCCATGAGTCGGTGCCATTGGGGCTAGTAACACAGAACTGCTCCACTTTCTCAAACTGATGAACTCGGAAAATTCCTAAAGTATCACGGCCATGAGAACCAGCTTCTTTCCGGAAGCATGATGAGTATCCAGCATATCTGGCAAAGCACACTAAACTAGTTAGAGCAAAATTCATTCTGGTATTTCTTCCACAAATAGTACTAGTGTACTTTGCAATTATACCTGATTGGTAGATCAGCGGGCTGAATCCAATCATCTATGTGATACGCACATAGTGGTTGTTCAGCAGTAGCAATTAAATACTTATCATCACCCTCTCCAGTCACCTATTCCATATGAAGTACATAGTTCAGCACAAAAGAACTGGCATATGCTCATATAACAAGTGCATATTTACACGCCTTTTGAATGTTATATATTTCACAAAGCTTTGCAATGGTACCTTATATAGTTCTTCATCAAACTGGGCCAACTGAGCGCACTTGGCCATGACATCCTTTCTCATGAAAAATGGAGTCTGCAATGCTGTGTACCCTCTCTTGTCCAAGAAATCTAAACCGTAGTTAATCAGCGCCTGATTTAGACGTACACCATCACCTTTGAGGTAGAAGCCTCGACCTCCAGCTATGTTGGCTCCTGCTCATTTTATAAAGAAGAAGATGACTAACAAACAAACATGCTAAAGAAGGCCAAATCAACCTCAAATTCAGAAATATTTTCAACATTCTAGATAAAAGAAATGAACAACTGTATAACATCACACTAAGCACCTTAATTCAGGATGGAAGGTACAAACTAAGAAGGTATGAAAATGAGACTACAGGATGACCAAAATTCAACGGGCAGAAAATGGGATGATAAAATTCAACAATAGAAAACAAAAATAACCACTGAGACTTGGAGGCATACAAAATTAGAAAACGAACTAATAAAAACACCATCACAGCAAAGCACCTTTCTTTGTGTCAGCAATCCCAAGAAGTTCCACGAGGTCAACATGATTTTTCAACTTCTGCTCCGTGCGCTTCTCTCCCCAAACCCTAATGACAGCATTATTTGCCTGCAAAACCCAAGAGTAGAAAACAAAAACAAAGGTTAGCAGTGGTCTCGGGCAACATTCCGTAAACTAAACTCAGATTGGCAATTGGGTTCAGCATCAAAATCCTGCTCACCTCATCCTTGCTAATAGGTACGGAATCATGGATAAGGTTCCCAACAGTTTCGAGTTTTGCATACAATGCCTTCTTGTCGGCCTGCACCTCATCCTCTTTTACTGCCATTTGTTGCTTGTGTTCCTCAATGCTCTTCATAAGTTCAGTTACATCTAGATTGTCCTGATTCTCAATAAAATTAACAGCCAACAAGTTTTGAGAAACCAATAAACATAACTGCCGATACAGAGACAGAAAACAAAGAGGAACAAACACAAATGCCTCACCTTCTTATGCTGGTAAACTTGTTTGTTCATCTTGTTAAAATCCTTCCTCATGTTATCAAGCTGGAATTGACCTGAAAAAACATAGGTCCAGAACCAGTGTGAGTAGTAACAGCACAAATAGGATCGAAAATACACCGAAAAAACGAACGAAAGAGAGGGGACATCCTAATTTACTTACATTGTCTCCATTTCTTGTCGAGCTCAATAATCTCATCAACAATCTCAACACTAGCGAATCGGCGGCGCTGTGATTCCCTGATGAGTTCCGGGTTGTTCCCCTTATCTTCCCTAAACAGATTAATGTCCAACATCCTTCTTGCTCCCTTATGCAAAAACCTAGCCACGAAAAATTCCACTCTCGTTAAATTAAGTCCCCAAAGCTCACCCCTTCCGAGTTACACAAAAAAAATCGGACTCCTAGTCATGCCAAGAGAAGTATGATTTATTCAGATCGTACGCCATTGAAAGGGGGCAGCAACAGGGGATAAGAGAGCAGAAGAAAAGCTCATTTACTCATCAGCTAATTATGCTTAAAAGGCCAAAAGACGATGCTTTCGGGGGAACTCGAAGAGTGAAAGTTTCGTACCTCGACTGGTTGGAAGAGGTGAAGAAGATGAAGTTCAGCCGCTGACGGGAGAGATGAAGCTGCCGGGGTTAAGCTATGAGCGAAAGGAGGGTTTAAGGGCGAGACGGACTGTATTCTTCTTCTGCCAGCGTTGTTTTCCTTTGGTCGGTAAAGGATTTTGCGGCGGACTTGTGAGGGAGGGAGATTGCCCTTTCTGCGAAGATAGCTGGGCCGGGCCGGGCCGGGCGGGCCTTCCTGCCTAATCAATGAGGGTTTAGTGGGCGGACCTTCAAAGCCCGACTAATTAAGGGTAGGGATGGCAATTTCGACCTGGCCCGATTTATCCGACCTGTTTGACCTGTTTTGGGGTGGGTCTGACCTGCCACATAGGCGGGGCGGGGGGGGGGGGGGGGGGGGGGGGAATGGGTACCTCTCATCGACCCGACCTGCCCTGACCCGCCCCATTCTCGACCCGTTCTGGGCTAAGTTACATGTAATTTAGTCAAATTAGTTAGGATTTTCCTCTTATTACATCATATTTTAGGTATAATAAAGTTGTAAATAAGTGAAAAACTCAATTTCTCCAATAATTTAACTATATTTTATCAAATTACGGTTTCTTTCTTGGTCTTTTAATTAAAATAATGAATAATTATAATGTTTTTGCAGAAATTATATACCCAATGGGTCGACCTACCCCAACCCGCGCCCTATGATAAATTACCCGACCCGGACCCGACCTGCCACCGGGGGGGGGGGGTATGGGTATCGAGCTACCCGTCCCGGACCTGCTCCATTGCCATTCCTAATTAAGGGTTTTCTGGCAATCCAAGTATCCAAGTAATTAAGGTTAGTCCGCCGAGAGCGGATCTGGTGACTAAGGGTGCTTAGTCACTTGATTAAGTAAGTCCCTGCCTCTTAGTTCTGGACACATCAATTTGACGGTTAAAAACTTAAAATGTGGGAAAGACTTTCTAATTAATGACAAGGGTAGTTTGGGTATTATGAAAAATTACGAAGTATAAAAACCGGACTTACAAACACACAAACATACGAACAATACAAACTAGAGCGACAAAACATACGAACTATACAAACAATACAAACTAGACCGACAAACATTACAGAACATACTAACAGTACAAAATGTCACTACTTACACCAGTAAACTTGTATTACAAATAAATGAATACAAAGTATACAAATCACAACATAAGGTATACAAACTAGACAAACAAACATTACAAATTACAATGTATACAAATTAGTCATATAAACATTACAAACATAATAGATAAAAATGACAAACTAAAATGATAAACGATACAAACCGAATTGATACAAAATAACAAAGCATACTTACAAACATTACAAAATCATCAGACAAACATAACAAAACAGACGCTGATGACGAAAACCCCTCTCTCTCTAAGTCCCATCCACCCAGATGACGGGACGCCGAAATCCAACAGGGGTGAAGCCCGCCGGAAAGCCAGCAGCCGCCGAAGGTGACGTCAATTAATAATTAAATTAATATGCAATTACTACATTAGCCTTCATTAAATGAGATCAATTACAACCATTAGATTTTAATGAAGCTCAATGGCTGAGATTGACATAGTCATGTGACTAAGAGACCCCCTAGTCACCTAATCTTAGCCCTTAATGAGCCTAAGCTGTTTGATTGATTCTTCGATAAGGACAGATTTAACAGTTGATTGATTCTCCGTCTAATATTTAATTAGGGTTTATGCATCATATCATATCCGCATTTTTGACCTTCTACGAATGCTATTTATAATTGTCATTTGTAGGTTAAAATCGTTAATAAACCGATAGGCCATTAACACAACCAAAGGTTCGTTTAAAATCGTTAATAAACCGATAGGCCATTAACACAACCAAAGGTTCGTTTTCATTTTTACGGTTTATTCTGACCAAAATTGAAACCGTTAAGTGCTTATCAGTTCCGGTTTTGGGACAATGGCTACTTCAGATTTCAGTTTCTAATGATTTTTTAGTTAGGTTAACTGAATCGAACTGCCACCTCTACTGCAAACGCCATTAATTTAAATCCACGGCTAAACCCAAAAGAAAATGTTATGGTTTATGTCACGAAAATGATTCTTCTAAACTAAAACCTTCTCGTGAACAAACAGAAACTGGGTTTACGACAGCCAATCCAGATGCTCAATGCCCTTCTCGTGAACATCCCAGGAACCCACCGCGATCTCGTTGAACAGCTGTTCCCAGCTCCAGCTCGAAAACCCCAGGAAGAACCAGTAATCCGATACTTCACGATCTCCTGATCTGATCGCTTCGATTTCTTTGACAGTGCTCTGCTGATCGAGAAAGTAGACCCCCGGAGCAACCTCAGGCCAGTGTGGATGACCATCTCTAGGTCCTCCTGCTCTTGTTAAAGCGACAAATGGCAGTCCGGATCTCACGAGTGGACCACCAAATGAAAGAGGAGCCTGTTTCAGCACTTCCTTCAACCCTTCTTCCAGGCTGGGGACGGCCTCCCACCGTAGGGGCTTGTTGTACATTAGGCCCTGAAAGTATCCTGCACCCTCGTCGGCTGCAACTATGATCACTCGTGAGTCGTCGAATGGCTGGGAAGTGATCTTTGACGTGGCGGAGAGGATTGTGCCGATGACCACATGGGGAGGGGCAGAATTGCTGGAATGCCTGGAAGTGTGTGATTCAGTCTCGCTACAGGCTGCGGCTTCTTCTGGTGCTTGGTGTTTCAATATGACCTCCTGGGACTCGACATAGGCATCCTTGTCATGAAGTTTGGTTGTTGCTGATGAATCCTTGCCTGACTGCTGAACTTTGCGTCCTTTTCTGGCTGCGCTCCTTAAAATTCCTAGAAGAACAAGGCAAAAGAAGATGGATGTGAGGGGTATAATTCAATGAACTGATAGGGGGGCTGTTATATAGTGGCGTCAAAAGAAGAATACCGGTCTCACTGGTTAGATGCTCCGAATTGCTGCCATGGTTAACTATGAACTCAATGATATCATTCACTGTTGCATCTCCTTCATACGGGACAGCCACTTTACTTTTTGCAGGAAACAACAAAAGAGTGGGATAGACGTCTCTCTGGATATAAGAAAGACACAGAGAAAAGAAACACAGTACTCACATAACAGTGTCCAAATCTGATATGCATCATTTTAATCCAAATGAAGGAAGAGTTGAAGAATGTAATGTGGAACATTAACATACCATGCCCACTGATCTCAAGGTCAAACTGCAGTCATTCAATGTGCAGTCCATTAAGAAGACTTTTGGAAACTTCGTCTCAGATGCTGCACAACAAGATAAGAAGTCGGTCATCATGACGCTTAACAAATAACAACCATAAGCACACATGTTTTACTTTCCTTCAATTTATCTGGAAACCCGAACTTAGATAGAAGTTATATACAATTTCTAGTGCACTTACTGTCACTGAGAATTGTGTCTTTGGCCGTAGATCCCATCTTCAACACATTCATACATCCTTTTATGCCCCGAAAAACTTCACGAACAACCAAATTCATTCTCTGGCAGAATCCACACCAGTTGTTGCTAAAAAGGACCAACACATCTTCATTCCAGGAGGCACCAACCGCATTCTCACCATCAGATTGATTGAAACCAATGACCATTTCATGGAACCTGTGAACTGTAACCCGAGGGATAGAGTCTACCTCATGGAAATTTTGATTAACAAAAGGCGGGTGGGAACCTTCCCTAGGGCTTGCAGGTTCAGACTCAGACAGTTGGAAGGGGAAAAGACTCCCATTCAGGAACCTGTTAACAAAACTTTCTGCCGAGGCATAGCTGAAATCTATATTTCCAGGAAGCACATAGTGTTGGTGTGAAACAGGATCAATAATTACTAAGGAAGGAATTCTAGTCTCCCCAGTCAAGGCCTCTAGCAACCTGTAGTTCCCATCAGAAAATGAAAAAGAACCAGGGAAATTCTCAACTTCTTGCTGTTCTTCCGCCAACGAGTCCAAACTGAGAGACTGTTCCTCCTCTAATTTTATGCCTTTCAATTCTGATATTCCAACATCTGAGACAAGTTGATCAAGTTTTGTAGGCTGTTCAGATGTGAGAAGATAAGTTGGCCTCTCCTCGCCATGAGAAGATTCCACATCACTTGATGTTTCCTCAATACTGAAAGCTGAAACCTCATCCCCTTCTAGTTTTATGCCTTCTTGTGCTGACATTCCAACATCTGATACAAGTCGATCAAGTCTTATAGGCTTGTCAGATGTGAACAGATAGGCTGGGTTCTCCTCAAAATGAGAATGTTCGGCGTCACTCGATGGTTCCTCATTACTTAAAACTGAAACCTCATTCAGATTGATTAATGTTCTGATGGGACTGTCCTGAGAAGATTTTGATGAATCTTGGTTTGCGTCTGCCTGACCCTCTGAAGGCAATGAGTCAGCTGTCTTAATGCTGAGATCCTGAGACAGCAGTTGGAAACCAGCCTCTTTTGCAACTGAGCTCAGTGTTGCCTCCTTCTTCTGCTGAAGGACATACTTTATTATCTCTTGCAACGATTTGCCTTGCAAATCTACCTGCAAGTTTTCCAAACTACCATGGTTAGCATCATTTAAGACCATGATTGACATCTTCTCTCTTCGTTTCATTTTCTGCACTGTTGGAGACAGCTTCAATGCAGGATGGCCTGATGATGGAACGTGCAGTTTTTGAAGTCCTCGGTTGGACAATCTTTCGGACCTCTCATTCGTTTGATAGCTCATGTTATCTGAAACTTTAAGATGAAATGATAGGTCTCTGAACTGTTGAAGAGCTTCCCGACTCTTTCTTCTGATTTCTGATGAATCAGATAACCTATCCACAAAGAGGAGCACTGATGGCTTATTTGTTGGTAATGCAGGATCAACATCCTCCCCATTGCCTTCCAGCTAAAAGAACACGAAGGAGGTAAAGCAGATTAGTAGTTTAGAGCGACTTTGGGTTGATTTAACCATAAGAAAAAATGGATCTGAACTGGAAGTAGCAATCACTACAACTACAAAGGTGTAAAAACACCATCACGTACATTATGTACATCTACACGGAATTATGCAGGGAGAATCCATGGAGGCCCCTCCACTGTCATTCAAAGACAAAGTCTAAACAGAAAAACATCATACTGAAATGGCGAAAAGGGGAAACAATGTGGAGTTACCTCAGTAACAATACACTTTTCTGACTGCAGAATACTCGCAAGGTCATCATTGTCCCTCAGGATCCTTGAACAACTTTGGCATCCATTGTAAGAAAGCATCACAACCCAGGAACCCGAGTCTCCAATACCAAGAGAGGAAAGCAACGATCGTTCTGAAACAAGACCGAATCTATGCTTTTCGAGAGGCAGAAAGTACTCTCTTGCCACAGCCATGAACTTTGAGAAGAATGCATCGAACTTTTGAAACTGCTCATAGGTACAAGTCAATCCAGTTCCTGATCTCGCATTCTCAGCATCCCCGTACTCATCCTCCTGGTGAGTAAGGCTGTCATTTCCAGAGCTGAATTCTCCAATTGAAGGAATTCCGGTGACTGCACTTTCGCTACCACATGTCAACGCTGCCTTCTCTTCACCTGCATTGATAGGTAAGTAATCAACCTCACAAATGGTTAGCAATCTCTTTTCCACTTGACTAGTGAACTGAACAACCTAGGATAGCCAATTAGAAACTACCAGCCACCTTCTGGTTTTCCTTTCCTAGGGAGATAGGTAGTTTCTCACTTTCTCCATTTGCGCCAGCAAAATCCCCTGAAGCAAGGACATGGTAGCCATCATCAATTGACACAACTGAGGTCATCTATTCTCTTATTCAGGCTCCATCAAAGTAATCTAAGGACGTCACATTGAACTTCTAACTGGCAACAAATGGAATGAGCCAACATCTCATCCTTTTTATCCCCTCGGGGGAAAATTCACCAGGCAATCAGAACCCAAAGCTTTCAACAGAGACGACAACGGAAATGACTAACCTTGCAATCGCAAACCACTACGAGTAGTCTCGTTCTTATTACCGCCGGCCAGCAACTTACGCGTCCATCCACAGAACTCCATGAGAAGCACTGCCTTATCTGTTGATCCAGCGAACGTCCGCAGCTCATCCTCCGTCTTCAGCTCCGTGATAGGAATTTCTTCAGGATCAGGCAACAAATAGGGACGAATCGAGCGCAGAACATTCCCTGCTCGAAGCCTGCCTTGATACTTGTAAGGCACGGAGTGATGGAGATAGAAGACCGTCACTCTTCCCTCCACGGCACCAATCGCATCGGCGAGCATCTTCTCCTTGTTCCTCTGCAGATACATCAACTCGAGGCTGCCGAATTCGTCCGGCTTTCCGGCGACTAAATCGGCTATTTCCCGCATCAAGGACCTCGATTCGCCGGACCATGGAACGGAGACGAGCAGGAGGATTTTGGGATGGATTCTGATCTGAGAAGAGTAATTGTGCCTGTCGAGAACATGCCATCTCTCAAGGCGGTCCTGATCGCGGTCGAAGGCCGACGACTGAGATGATGCGGCGGCGGCGATGAAAACGGCGGATAGAACTGAAAGCAGTCCCACCAGTTTCTGCCTCATCAGCAGAAACCACTATGACTGTAATTCTAAAACTGTAGACGGAGATCGAATTGCTTGGTGACTGACTGGCTAGGTCATGCGCGTCAGTTCAGTTCAGCTCAGCTCAGCTCAATCGAGTACATGGCGGCACGGGAACAGTCGAACAGAGGCTACTGATTGCGACTTGGATAGACGGGCAGAAGAACAACAGATGAAGATGGAGCGAGTCAGTGAGCTTCCCTCAACGGGGATTATAATTTATTAATTTGGGTGGGATAATAACGTTATGGCTCCTGTACTCTGCTTCATTTGCAAATAAGACTCATTAGTTGTTGATATTGGGCTTTTGTTTTGTCGGAAAAAATCCCAGAATACTCTAAATATTAAAAAAAAATCCCAGAATATAATACTTATAAACTTATTTCCCAAAATACAGCAGTTTCAACATCACTGTTGTAGACCAAGACAATGATTGCAATCACCGCTTTTGTTTAAAACGGTGAGAGCATCACCGCTTTTAACAACAACAGTGATGCATCACCGTTTTGGACAAAAACAGTGATGCAATCTCCGCTCTTGTTAAAAGCGGTGATTGTCTGACCGTTGATTTGAGAAACGGTGAAGCAACTATCACCGTTGATGGGAAAAACGGTGAAATGGGTGCGGATCGCTGACGTGGTCGAGCGCGGGCACTTCACCGCCAAAGAGAAAAGCGGTGATAGCCCCGCCCCGCCACGTCATCAATCTGCGTCGTCCGCGCCCTTCACCGCTGCCATTCGATGCGGTGAGGCGCGGATTGTGGTTTTTCTCCACGATCCGACGCCTCACGCGTCGCCACGTCAGCGATCCGCGCATCACTGCCTTCGTCAATGGCGGTGAATTCACTGCTTTCGACGAAGGCGGTGATTGGCTGAGTGAAATTTCCAGCGCCCCCTTCCCCCTATAAATACCACCCCCCCCCCCCCCCCCCCCCTCATTCCAAACCACACCACCATTTTATACTTCTTTCTCCCTCCATTACTTCACTCTAGTTTCGTTCTAAGTATGCTCTGTGGTTGCGGCTAAGTCCGATCTTCCGCATCAGAAAGAATTACTAGAGTTTGAGAGTACATAAATTAATTTTATTCTTTTGTGATTTTTTTTACATGGGTGCTAAAATTTAAATTGATTTGATTTAATATTTTTTTATAGATGGGTGCTGAGATATACGACCCTCGATTGTATATCGATCCTGGCCCAAGGGATCGAAGGTATTTAACCGGGCAAGATCAACATCGCTCCCGTTCAATTTGGAACAATAATCCAGTAGACACACTAAAATTATTTCAATAGTTTTAAAGTTTTTATTTTGCTTTCTATTGACTGACAATATTGTGTTTTTTGTTTTGTAGGAATCACTTATTCCCATCAGTCATCAAGGGACATGTCGATTGCCTCGTTGGCATCCTCGACTGGATCCCTATCTAGAGAGAACGAGATTGCACATGCTGAGGCGCTTTATGAGACTTGATATTGACAACGATCTGCTGACGGCAATGGCAGAGCGATGGCGCCCTGAGCTGCATACCTTCCACTTTCCCGAGGGTGAAATGACGATCACCCTCAAAGATGTTGCCATCCTCACCGGGCTCCCGATCACCGGAGATGCCATCATCGACAACTCGAGAAAACCAGAAGATGGTTGGGGGCCATTGATTCAACAACGTTTGGGGTTCAACATGCCGACCACCACGCCCGTCGAAGGTCAGGGGCATCCACCACCGAATGCGGGGCAAGTATCGATCCCGTGGCTTGTTGACCACATCCAGTTGGAGGTTAATATAGGCCCGGATACTCCTGAAGATCAGGTGGAGCGGTAGCACGTGTCTACCTAATTGGCTTGGTTGGTGGGTTTCTGTTCCCCGACAAGTCAAACCAGTGGATACAAGGCATGTGGTTAAATATGCTCCTCGGTGACTGGGACGAGATCGGGAAAAAAAGTTGGGGGTCGGCCGTCTTGGCTGGGATCTACCGAGAGTTGTGTACTTGCTCGAAGTTGGGAGTGAAACAAGCTGGTGGTGCGATGTTCATACTCCAGCTCTGGGCATGGGAGCATTTTCCGTTTCTCACACCTCGAGACCCTTGGGAATTCTGGTTGCCAGATGATGAGCTACGATTTGTAGCAAATCCCCCATATGGTTTCAAGTAAGTTCAATTTAAGTTGAATTTATTTTAGATATGCAATGGTAGCTAGTTAGGTGAATTTAGATCTATTCCAAATAAGCGAATTTAGTGACATTTTAAGTATGCAATTATAGTATTTTAGTGAACTTAGCTATCTTCCAACTAAGCAAATTTAGAGACATTTTAAGTCTGCAATTATAGTATTTTAGTGAATTTAGATATCTTCCAAGTAAGCAAATTTAGATTTATTCTAACAAAATCGTATTTAGCTAATTTAGATTATTGCCAAGTAAGGAATTTTAGTTCAATTTAGATGCTTCCATACAATCATACTTAACAAGTAAACATCTATGCTTTTAAAATTGCTTATATACGTACTTTTGCTTAATTAGGTGGATCGGAGCAAATACAAACGACCACCAGCCCGAGCACTCTTTACTGTTTTATCGTGCTGAATTTGATAAGCCTTGGTGGAACCAGGTAAAAATATAAAATTTCATGATTTTCAATTTTTTAGGTGGAGTGGATATAATTTTTACTTATTCCATGAATTATAATGATTGTAGGCGGTATGGGATCCATATCCAAATGAAGTGGTTGAGTTGCATCGTCTTAGACATCCCGAGGATCAAGAGACATGGTTGTGCAAGGTGCCCTTAATCTGCTGGCACATGGTGGAATGGCACCTGCCCGATCGATCTTTGAGGCAATATCGATTGGAGCAACCAATTCCAGCATCCCCCAGCATAACCAGCATCGTCTTCTTGGTCATGCGAAGTACGCCCAGATCGAAGGGTGTTCTCAATGTCAGCCCACTCTGGACCCCAAGCAGGTCATTGATCACCGTCGGGCTGAATGATATCAACGGCAGTCTCAGCATGTTGCGGGTATTCTTCCCACCCAACACCTCCTTCAGAACTACCTCCTTCGTAGTTGCTTGAAGTACCACCCCAGCCATACCCTCCTGCAGAAGTACCTCCTTCGTAGTTACTTGAACTACCACCCCAGCCATACCCTCCTGCAAAACCATCATCACAAGAATACTGGTGAGAATGAGTTTCACCGACCGGCTCCGTCTCGACATACACCTCTGCAAGCCGCACCCCGTTGTCAGATAGGAACTGTATCATCATGTTCACCGAGTCATCATCATTTATGACAACTTTTTCGTACATGATTCCGTCAACACTCATGTTTGGATAGCGGTAAGCAATTTGACCAACTCTCCTTTGCCCGCCCGTGCAAGTCCTTTCTGCACAAATGTCATGGAGTTCTTGCCACGAGAATCTCGACTCAATTTTTAGCATAGTGGATTCGCCATTTTCATAGTCGATCCAATGTTCAAGTTTGTCACCCGACCATTCCACCGAATAATAAGCCAAAACTTCTTAAATTTACCCATGTGTGCAATTTATAATAATTAAGTATAGTATATAATTAGTACATTAGGATACAAAAACAATATCATCCAAACCCATAAACAAACGCATGTAATTGATCTATCATGAGAAAACTAAGCAAATTCATCTAAATTCATAATTAATTAACTAACATCTATCATATCATAATTAATCTAAATATATCATAACATATTTTCCAATAACCGCAATTCACTAAATACAGACATATAATTACTAACACATCAACATGTAAAAAATACATACTTATAACATACTGAATCTCGATCTATCATGAGAAAACTAAACAAATTCATCTAAATTCAGTACTAACTAACATCTATCATATCATAATTAATCTAAATATATCATAACATATTTTTCAATAACCGCAATTCACTAAATACAGACATATAATTACTTACACATCAAAATGTAAACAATACATAATTCTAACATACCGAATCCCGACGAGTTTCTTGAGCAGTAAACCAACTCCAAACTAGCTGAGAAAACGACTAAAAAAACACTAATTTTTGTACTAATTTGCTGTAAGGCAGCAGGAGGGAAGTGGGCGTCGGAATTTATAGAAAAAAATGACAGCTAATCACCGCTGTGGACAATGGCGGTGAACACATCACCGCTTTTGTCCAAAGCGGTGATAGCTAGGTCGCTGTGACCTAATTTTTCACCTACCAGGGCTCTAAAACGTGGTCAATTATCACCGTTTTGGTCGACGACGATGATGTTATCACCGTTTCTCAGAAAAGCGGTGAGGCGATCAATTATCACCATTTTGGTCGACGGCGATGATGTAATCATCGTTTCTCAGAAAAGCGGTGAGGCGATCACCATTTTGGACTGCAACGCTGATTACTTCCCTGTTGTGGTCCAAGGCGGTGATGTGTTCCCCGTTGTGGTCAAAAGCGGGGATACCTTCCCCGTTTTGAACTAAAGCGGTGATCAATATCACTGTCGAAGACAAAGACAGTGATGTTGAAACTGCTGTATTTTGGGAAATAAGTTTGTAAGTATTGTATTTGGGGAATTTTTTTCAATAATTAGAGTATTCTGGGATTTTCCCCTTTTGTCCATTGTATTGTATTTTGATTCACTATCGCTCAGGTTGTTTACCTCACGGTTTATTATGAAAAATTAGGAATCAATTGCACAGTTTGTTCCGAACGATTTGTTTTATGATTTGCATTATAATAAGATGTTTTTATGTATCGCCAACACCTTATTCGACCATTTTCCCTTTTTATTTATTTTTCCAACAAGAGCCAAACTCAATCACAATTAGGGATGACTATGGGTAGGGTCGGATCGGGTGCGGGTTTATCCTATACCAACTCCCAACCCGTTGGGTAGAGCTTTCTAAAATATCCGATCAAATAACCACTGGGTATGAAAATTATATAACCATACCCTACCCACCGGGTAACCACGGGTATTCGGGTAACCATGGGTACGAATCCTAAACTATGAACTTATACACATATATGCACATGCATACTCTTGTCCATTAAAAATTCTCAATACTTGTAACTGTTCTGGTTTCAACAATCCACACAAATAAAACAGGAAACACATAATAATTGTTCTTGCTTCTACAATCCACACAAACATAATAATCCTCTACATCTTCATCATCAATAATGGTAGCTAAACTCAATCTCT